TTTTTTTGTGAAAAAGGCTTGAACAATTGGACTCTTCATGCCGAGAAGGAACAATGAAAAGAAATAAAAATATTTCTTAGGCTCTTAGGAAATTCTGGGAACCCTTGGACTCAATATACACGGCTAAACTACATACTACATAGGAGTGGCCGAAATTATGAGTTCTTATATCTTAGGTTAATATTATTTATTAATTAACTTTAGATTAAAGGAATTTAAGTAGGAAAATTTAAATAGATGGGGACATCTAAATAAATTCTCATTTATTCTTCATTAAATAAAAATTATTGAGTGAGGACACTCACTGGATCGATAAAGATAAATAACATCAAGCTCAACCGAAATTAAAATAAAACATCTTAAATTATTGAATTAAACATAATAAATATCCATGAAAATAATAATACGAAGCATAGAAATGAACGACATGAGTTTGAGGCATTACAGAATATCTCTTTTGGATACTGTTTTTGTAGTCCAAGCTAACAGAAGGTGTCTCTTAGGTTAGAACCTAAGAGACGCTCCTTTTATACCATAAAGGTCCGTTTGGTTGCCTCAAGGTGAAGGGTTTGATTTTATCTAATTTTGTGATCCACCAGTATTCACCCATGAGAGCCTATCTATATTCCATATTATTGTTTGGTCAAGTGTTTGGCTAGAATGATATGACTCACTAGTAAAATGGCGAGAATGAAATTGTCATGAACGAATATTGTTATATATTGAGGGGCATAAATAGTAAGCAGAGGAAAAGTGGTGTGAGGACTTTGATAGTACATTCCATGTCCAAGTTGGGATGTATATGTTGGTTTGTATACTAGAATCCCAAGCATATTTTTAAATATATTTTCAATTTGTTTTTTAATGAGAATCATGTTTAGTCAAAAGTGTTAATTTGTGTTTTTGTTTACGATGAATAATTAAGCATATCTGTTTCGTTGTAGATCAATATAGAAGATCATATTATAGTCCCTTATAATATATAAAGTATAGTTTACAACCTAGATATAATTGAACAAATTATGATGAAAGGTTGTAGTATATTTTTTAATTAGTTTGTGTTTACTAGTTAATTGCAATTTTGGATGTATTGAACGGATCTCGCATGATAGAATTATTTTATACTAATCAAATAAATAATAGACTTCCTCGTAGGCCGGCTCACAGAACGACAACCTCGTCAGCTCCCGCAATTTCTTCGACGTCCGAGCGAGCAGAATCTTGACGGCCTCGTCCATGCTCTCCACTGGAAACAATCCCTCCTCCATTATGTCCTCCTCCATACACACGCCAGCGCAGCCGACAACCACAACTGCTTTGTGGTCTACCGTCAGTAAAGCACTAAGGCCGAACGAGTTGATATTGGGCATGAGGGAGGACGCATCGTCGACTTCGTCGCCGGTGATGCGGACAAGGATGTCGACCACCTAAGAGGAATTAAACTTCGGCCGCATTTTTGGGCGGGGACGATTGGGGTTAGGGTTGCTAGCTGCGGTGGAGAGGTCGGCGAGTGTTGGGAGTTGTGTTTGTGGAAGGAGATAGATTAATTAGGGCTTTATATGTAGAAATGAATTTTCGTGAAACCTTCGTTCATTTTATAAGAAATTAATTGTCCCACATAAAAATAAAATTCTCATTGTGAATAAAAAAAAAAAAAAACTCAAATTGAATAATAAAAAAATTATATAAAAGATTTTTATGAACTATTATTTATTTTAGTTAATATATAGTTATTTTTGTCAAAATTAAATAGAGTAATTAATTTATTCGACAATTAATAACGCCCGTGATATCACGAGCACTTGAAAGTTAAACATTTGTATTAAAATAAAGAAGTGAAGAAATATATATTCTTATAGCAGAATGATAAAAAATTAAACATACAACTAATAACTAAAAAATAACAAAAACAATTATTTAGAACAATACTCTTATTTTATACTCAAATTGTTAAAATGATAATTTTCTTAACCCCACACACACACACAACTCAATAATTTAATTTTTTGAATCTTTTTTTTTAAAGTTTGATTATATTGTCATTATACTTTATATTTATACAATTTTCCTCCCTGGTTTGATATTTTTAAAAATATCTTCAACTTTATAATGTTCGACAATTTAAAATATAAAGTGTATGAGCATAATATTTTAAACTTTATAAAATAAAATATTATTTTATAATTTGTTATTACTTTTTTTCCGCGATCATAATGTTTCTGTGTAGTTTTTATTTAAGTCGAGATATGAACTTTTAGAATATTTTTTTATACTAATTTGATTTTCATACTTAGTTTATTTAAATTTTTCTAAATAAAATAGCTATATTATAGTATGTTAATAAACATAATTTGCTTTATAAGATTAAATGTAATTTTATTTGATATATTTTAATATAGGATTAATAATTTTAGATTGTGTTTATAAGACTATATCACTGTTTTATATTTTGTACATATAATATTAATGTCAAATCGAATATCGTCAAAAGATAAAAAAAATTATATGTCATATAACAAAATAAAATATAACTTTTTAAAAATAAGAAAAATAAACATTTATAATAATTGATGAATGAATTAAATAAGAAAATGACATTTAATACATGATAAAGTAGGAAAAGGAAACTTAAAATATTTTATGGTAAGTAATTGTAGAATAAAAGAAGGAATATATCAATTAGGATTTAATATGAATGATATAGACATTAAATAATCCAAACTTACTTATTTTGTATAAAAAAATATTAATTTATATCCAAGCCTGACTGCGAAGCACAAATTTTTTGTAACGGAGAATTCTGAAGCGTGAGAGCATGCCCCTTAAGCTCAACGCATTCTACAATATATAGGGTGAATAACATAAAAGTATAGACGAGTTCTACTCGTGTCAGGGGTACTTAAATATAATAATCTTTGTCGAACAAAAAAATTAAAATCATTTATATTTTTATTGCGAAATTATGTATAATGAATATACAACAATTAACTAAGTAATAATTAATTCAACATGGCGCCCACATTTTTCACTAGATTTATCAAAACTGGTATTTATAATTATATTTCAAAAATTATATATGTTTAAAATAAATATTATTTACAACTCCATATATCTGATTCAATTTTTTTTTTTTTAAAACAAATTGTGTTTTATCTTATTATGATAATATTTTATATTAGAGTCGGTGTCTCCCGTTTATGAATTTCTAAAGTTTTTTTTTTTAATTTTATATAATATAATACTTTAAAATATTAATTACGCAGAAATGTATAATTTTATAAATTTATGAACCAAAAAATTATTTTATTACGATTAATTATGCTACCCCTTTATATTTTACATTTTAAACAATACAATAGCATTTAGTTTCTTATATAATACATTTAAATCGTGTAATAATATTTATTACAATTTATTTCATGGAATACTTAATTTCCATATTTCATAAAAAATCAATGGAAAACTAGATTAAATAAATTACTTTATTGTGTGTTGATGAATTAGATTTTTATTTGTTATAAAATAATACATATTTTATTTGATATTTTATAAATGTATTTGCTGATAAAATTATTTTTTTGATAAAGATAGATGAAATTATTTATATTTTATATATTCAATATAGATGTCAAATCGAAGATCGTCAAAATATGATTATTTAATATATCATACAAAAAATAAAATACAAATAAACAAGTTATAAAGTTTTATATATAAAAACGAATACTAATTCATGATAATTAATATATGAAATATATAAGAAAATGTAAGAATGTTATATGGTAAATTAAGAAAAAAGAAAAGCCAAAATTGTCAATACATATTTAATAGTTAAATATGTATAAATTGTACAATTAAAAGTGGTATAATAATTATGTTTATACTAATTTTAATTATTAAAATCACACATATTTTATTTATTAAATATGGATTAATAATAAATTGAAAATAAGCAAATTAAAGAAATAAAAAAATAATAATATATTATTTAATATATTAATATATTAATATATATAAATATTATTTAAAGTATTATGAAATATTTATTTAATATGTATAATATATTATTCAATCTATTTATTTATTTACATATATTATATATATTGAATATACATAATATTTTATCATTTTCATATTTATTTATTTAGTAAATATTTATTTAATATAAAAATAAATCTTAATTAAAAAGTAATTAAATAAATCAGTGAAAAAAAACATAAATGATAATAAAGTTAAATAAAAAAGGTAATTAAATTCGTACAATTAAATTATGTAAAAGGTTTATAATTAAAAAGTGTTACTAAATAATAATTGAATTTATTTTAATTACAAAATAAAAAGTAAGTAAATTTAATAAATAATAATATATTATTTAGTTACGTTTTTATTATTCTTGAAGATTAGTGAGAAAAATTCTCTCGTTTGGGAGCAGCGATTCTCTCGTTTGGGAGCAGCAATTCTCTCGATGAGAGCAGTAATTGAAGCTATTTTTCTTAGATTCCATCTTGTTCGGATTATCTTTCTTTCATACCTCCTTTCTTTTTCTTGAGAGTATCTGCAAATTCGTATTTAGGGTTTGTTTCTCTTGCTTATACGATGAGTAATCAAGCCAATTCAGAGAAAGATGACGAACTGGCTAAGCGCCTGAAGAGTTGTTCTCTCTCGGATAAGGAAAGCAAAATTACGGACATTGCCCAGGATGACATTCGGTTTAGCGCAGAGGAATGCCATAGAAGCTTGTTTGGGAAAATTGTGGGTGATAGGAAAGCAAGCTGGTTTGGAGTCAACCGCACAATGTCGAATATATGGAGATTGAAATAACCAATGGAGGTAAAGGAGCTGAGCGACAATTTCTTCCAATTCATTTTTCAAAACAAAGAAGACATGAAAAGGGTGGCTGGGGGAACTAACTGGACCTTTGACAATCAATACCTCATTTTGCAAGAATGGAAGCAGGGCATGAATATCAACCACCAGGGGTTTAAGGAATTGCAGATATGGGTCCAAGCTCACAATGCCCCATTGGATTGGCTCAGCACCGAGGTGGGAGTGAAGATTGTTTGTGTTTTCAAAAAGGTGTTGAAAGTGGTTTTAGTCACAGTAGGAAGTCATGGAGGCAGAATGATAAGACTCAAAGTCTGTTTGGACTTAGATGAACCTATCCCAAGATGCAATATCAGATTAGGTGATCACATTGTTAATGTCCGCTTCCAATATGAAAAACTAGTCAACCTATGCAATTATTGCGGTATGATAGGGCATATTGATAGAGATTTCTCCCAGAGAATGACTGACATCAGAGCACACACCTCAAAGGAGGACAATTTGGTGATTGGCTGAAGGCAGCTGAGGGGCAATTTTTGGTGGAAGTTGACAACTCCAGCTCTAAGAACTCTCCTTCACCGAGCAAACTCTCTAACTCTGAGGATAGCAGGCCCATGAATGCATCTACAAGCCAGAACGTGAAGAAAAAACAACAAATACCTATCAGAGAACATCCTGCAGATGATGAAGCTCCTGACAAAGTTGACACAAATTCTGCCAAAATAAGCTCACCTGGCCAACAACTAGAATTCTCATCTAGTTCAGAAATCAAGAAGGTAGCCCAGAGGATTGTCTCAGAGAACAAAGTTCCTCATATGCTAGAAATGAAGATCAGAGATATGGAGTTGGAGCTTAGAAATGAACCAATTAGCTTTCCAGGAGGGAATCTAGCAGTTATAGAGGCTGCTCCATTAACAAAGGCTCCTCTTAGAACCTAGAAAAGAGTAGGAAACAAAGAGGGCAAATTGCTTAGACAAAATGATTCTGTTGAGAAGACAGTTGCAGGCACTAAGAGAAGTAGAATGAGCAAAGTCTCTGATACTGATGATTGTGAAGAAGAGATCAGAGATTCCTATGATGGGAAGAAATTGAAAGCTGTGGTTGAGGAGGTGGGGGTGGCCAGCTTAGAGTGGCACCCAAGTGACCAATGCTAGCTGCGGTGTGGAATTGTAGAGGGCTGGGTGGGCCCTCTACGATTTACCAAATCAGAGAGACCTGCAAGGCTCACCACCCAGTGTTTTTATTTCTTTCTGAAACTAAGAAACAACATTCTTTTGTGAAATCAGTATGCAAGAAGTTAGGCTATGAGGACAGATGTGCAATCATGGATCCTAGAGGAGCAAGTGAAGGACTAGCTTTATGCTGAAATTCTGAAGTTGATATCATCCAGGTAGTGTCCAAAGATTTCTACATAGCAATTGAATTTAACGCTGATAATCAGAACTCCGGGGGCATATTTGTTTACATGCACTCAGACAAGACTGTGAGGGAGGCTCAAAGGCAAATTCTTCTCTCAGATAGATCTCAGTGGGGGGGAGGAATGGTT